AAAATTCCTTCAGCGGATCAATATGCAACCAGAAGACGATTTTCCTTACTATATGTGAAAATAAAGTTATGTTTTTACACTTTATTGTTTCACAAGCTTCGAAAAGTGCAACAAACCGGAACATAATTAAAGTCGCGAATTCTTAGTTATTACTCAGTATATGTAATAGCTTGTTGTTTATGAACAACCAGTATCTGTGAAAACGATTTTTGGGTTTTGTTAACATCCTAGTAACCTTTAAATTTGTCATTGTGAAATTTGTGGCATCTGCGTGGGGAGTACGTAAACATTCATACTTTTAAATGTTGTTTTTACAAAACTGCGAAGTTCGTAATAAATATGATCAATAATGTCGGGCACAGAACAGGTCTTTGAAGCGTTCTAAAATTTACAGATTTCACGTTTTGTAAAGTTTGTCTTTATTTCGTCTAATATTTTATTGCAGAAGTTTAAAACATCTCCACTACACAATTTTCAACTGCAATTAGTCTTCGAAAGCACACGATTCATAAAACTTACCTCCCTTGGCAACGTTGACAAATCAATAAACACAAACCGCTTAAAAAAGAAGGTGGCCTAAATTGTTTATTAGGAGATAACCTATAAGAACCCTAAGACATATTTTTTTGTAGGATCAAAAGCAGAAGACGTATATATATTGCCTCAAAGTTTTCTAGTTTATCTTTTTTTCCTCATAACTTTTTAATTGCTAATGTTACGCCAAAAGATTATTATTAAAAATTGTAGATAATTCTAATGGTATCATCCTTATTGAAAAACAGTTGTCAGATTACCATTTAAAATTGAACAAAATTATTTTAATTACAGATTAAATGAAATTTTTTGAATATACGTTTTGCCTAAATAAATGTAATAGTTATTTATGGATTAAGGGCATAATTAAGGAGATTATGGCACGAGGGAATTTTTAAAGCCCGACGAAGGAGGCGTCTTAATTTCCCGAGGGCCAAAATCGGCAATTATGCCCGTGGTACGTAAAAAAGAAATTGTAGAAGAATTTGAAGTCGTCCAAGGAATGATTTGATTCCTAACTTTAATAAAAATGTTGAATATCGAAGCTTGTTTGAATAATTAATTAATGTAAATAAATCGTTGCTTAGCAATTTTAACTGATTTGTGCCATAAAGGCCAATTTATGCCCGCATTTGGGTGCTTATAAACAAGATTATGATTCTAAAATCGAATAAAGTAAAATTATTGTGTTTTTTCGTTTCAACAATGTAACGATTTCTCTTCGCCCACTTTAACAACCTGCAAAAAAATGTTATCCTTTTCCACCATCGTTTGTATTGAAACAAACAATTTTTTTAAAGGTCACAAATATACAGGGGGTCACTAAGCACACAGTAAAATTATTATCGACTATACAGAATGTCCGATATATTTTACATATTTTTATTAGCTTCTTTCTAGCCTTTATAATCATAGTTTATTTCTAAAGTTTCAATGCGGTGTTGCCACGTCATTCAATTTTTTTTTATTTTCTACTTCCTGAGCGTAAGTTAGTACGAAAAAAAGGTCTCCTGTTTCCGTCAGTCTGTCTTTCTGTTTGTCCGTCTGTCTGCCGCCTGTCCGGATTTTTATCAGGCAGATAATCTCCGAAACTACTAAAATTTGACTAATTATCCTCACCAACAAGAAGATGACGTCACTTCCCAAATTGCCATTAGTAAATAATGCATCGTCGTTTATAAATAGGAGTTGAGTTTTTCCCCTAGACATACAGATTTTTGGAAAAAAACCCAAATTATATAACAATATTTTACAATTTAACTTTGAAATGGCAAAAACCGAATACTGCTAAATCTTGCGATATTTTAAGGTTCATGATAAATCGTTAATCAAAATTTGTCCGTCAACTTACAGTTTTGCCGAATAAATAAATGATCTTCAAATTTATGAGTGTTTTTGGGAAAAAACTGGCTTCGATTAATATTTTATTTATTTATTAAAGGATGATATTATTTAACAAAAATTGGATTGAAAGTGTTATAAAAGTACTGTTTACTACTAAAAGTAGCAATAATTGTTCAAGTTTAAATGATTTTAATTATCAGTTGACTCTCAGTCTGCCACATTAAGTCAAGACAATGTGTAGCGTTATAATTTTAGGTTGAGTTTGTGTGAATTGTGATTTTATAAAAAATATACAAGTGAAACTTTTGCACTTTTTTTTTCACACATGACACCCCTAAATTTACAAGTAGACCCGTCCGAACGCTTTGCTGTCAACTGCGATTGGCCTTGACCAACTACTACCACAACAATGTATTTTTAAAAACCAAAAAGCAACAACAAGAAAAAAAGTGGTCGAAAATTGTTTGGACAGAACTTCCCTCGCATCTCCACAATTTGCAATATGAAATATCACAATTTTTTAAAATTTCTATATTCAACGTGTAGAATCTCTAAAATCTGTAGAATTTCTAGAATCTTTAAAATCTCTGCAACTTCTGGAACCACTAGAACTAAAACTTTTGGAATCTTCGGAATTTTTAGAATTTTTACAACGAATTTTTAGGATCTGTAGGATACTTGGAATTTTTAGAGCCTTTACAATTTTAGCATCTCCAGAATCTCTAGAGCCTCTAGAATATCTAAAATCTGTAGAATTTCTAGAATGGCTGGAATTGCTAGACTTTAAAACTTGTACTTTTTTCTGGAATTTCTAGATGCTGTATAATTTTTTGAATCTTTAGAGTCTGGAAACTTAAGAATAATTTTCAGAATCTTTCGAATTTTTCGGGTCTCTAGGTTATTTTAGAATCCCTACAATTTTCAAAATGTCTACAATTGCTGGAACCACTAAAATCTAAAACTTTTGGATCTTTGAAATTTTTAAAATTTTTACAATTTTTAGAGTGCTCATAATCTTTGGCTTCTCCAGAATCTCCAGAACCTCTAGAATCTCTAAAAGCTCTAGAATCCTTCGAATTTTTCGAACTTCTAGAATTTCTAAAATCTGTAAATTTCTAGAATCTTTAGAATCTCTGCAACTGCTGGAACCAGTAGAACTAAAACTTTTGGAATCTTTGGAATTTTTACAATTTTTAGAGTGTCCACAATCTTTAATACCTCCAGAATCTCCAAATCTTCGAGAATCTCTAAAAACTCTAAAATTTATAGAATCTCTAGAATGTCTGGAATCGCTGGACTTTAAAACTTGCACAATTTCTAGAATTTATTTAATTTTGTCTTAATATACATAGTATTCTTTGAACAACACGATACTCAAAAACATGTTTTTAGTTTCTCGTAGAGAAATAAGGATTTAGCAGTTAAGCTCCGCCTTCGTAGCTCACGCAGCTCCATTCGTTGTCAGGCTGAGGGGCGGAGCGTAATTACAAAATCCGTAATATTTCCTGTTTTAAACATGTTTCAAGTTCCTTATCGCGAAAAGAACACTAGGAACATTAAGAAAAAAAGGGGAAAATATAAATTAATCAGTCGTTTTCTATGTGTCGAGGAGACAAAATGCTCGTAATCTAACGTGAAATAGTACATTTCTTTTGAATTATAAACATAAACATAATAAGTGTCAAAATTAAGCATGTACTGAGAAACGGAGGATATAATTTTTTCCTTTGGTTATCTACTAAATATACTTATTTTATATTGTCCACTCCCTTTTAATTGCGTCTCTGGTTGTACTTGTAGCGCTTATTACAAAACGAAAACCAAAAATCAAATTTTATAATTGTTTAAAGAAGCAGAATTTGTCGGACTAACTACACTTCAACACAGTATAATAAAATATCTCTCCACAAAATATCAAATTTTAAAAATAACCTTATTGCGTTTTTTGTCAATCCTTCCATTGTTATTAACTTTCAAAAAATTCGAATAACTTGGCAACCTCGCATTGAAATTTCAAAAATAAACTATTGATATAGAGTGTAAAGGGAGTTCACTCAGAATATATAAAAATATGTATATAGGTACTCTATTTGAAAAAGCTAAGCTGCTTATTACTCTTTAAATAAATAGTATAGTCAAATTTGGGTATGTCTATGGTCCTCGAAGAACTTTACTGATACAACTTTAGTATTAAACATTTTTTTTCTATTTTTAATAATATTTAATGAAGTATCAAGGCCGCGACCCTCGTGGCTCACTCAAAACTATTTTATGTAATTAGTGGCTATAATGTGAAACACAACTAATTGTACTTAGGAATAATTTTTTAATTATAATAATAATAATAACAATGTATAATGGACTAGGATTCCTGTACGCTGTAGTTTTGACATATATCAAAGTCTAAGTTTGATTCAAAACCTCAACAAAAAACATTTTGTGGAGGCAATTGCAACTTTAAAATGGAAACATTTAAAAATATAGACAATAGGTACAAATAAAATATTTATGTCAAATTCAAGTTTTTATTTTGGCACTTTTATTTATTTTAATCGTACTTATTTATACGTGACTGTTCATAAATTAATAATAATTACTGCATCTTAGAAAATTATTTATTATAATAAAGTATTTTTATTCTCGAAAAATGTATAAAAAAACGGAATTTTCCTGTGAACTAGAATTTTTGAATTAGTTAACAATTAGGTTCAGAAGTAATGAAACGTTAATTAAAGTACGAGTACATGTATTTCCAATTTTCAAAACTTGAGTGGGTGTTTCAGAATTTACTAAACTTTCAACATTCGCTAATGATGAAACAAGGTGACTCGGATTTATAAAGTCTGATATTTTAATGGCTCAGGTGTCGCGAGAATGTTGAAATTTAGATGATTGATTTATACGAAATCTTGTATTTTAAGAAAATAATTTCATAAATGTAGACGAAACGTTAAAGCGATGAAAAGTTTTAAAACTAGCTTTACACATAAAATTTTGTCAGTCGATATTTTTATTATTAAATTTATTACTTTTGTTAACATTTTGTCACACGTACTATTCTTGTTTTTTATTTAGTTAATTATGTAATAATTTTTGACTAAAACCGTGTTATTTCTTTGCAGGTACAATGGGATGTCGGATTTCTTAAAAAGAAGAAGACTTTTTAAATAAGGTAGATAATCAGATGACTCAAAAGATTACACAGTAATCAGAACGTACGTTAAGGAGAATATTGGAATAAGTAGATTCTGGCGAATGCCTAATTTCTCGTCTCAACGTTTCACAGCTTGTGGAAAAGGAAAATTTCTATCTCCCGTTTCCGTTGTGGTTGGTGGGTTGTCGTCTGTCTGTCACTTGTCTGTTGACGATTTTATTACATAGATAATTTCTGCGTACAGAAATTTACAGGTTTTCTCGAGAATAAGTTTGTTTTATAGCCTGTCTACTACCAGAAATTGAACACATGTTGAAATTTCAAACATAAAAATTTTATTTGATGTCACTGTTACGCTTTGCAGCAATATATGACAAGAATTTACACCACATTTTCGCTTGGTGTAGGAGTTTTAAAACCTTCACTATTAAAAAAAATGTTAGTCTGTGTTCCGTAAATATAATTCCCTAATACTTCAACAAAATTATCATGCAAGTTCCACATATTTTTTTTCAAAAGTTCGCGTTTAAATATACTACAGAAAACTGAAATAATGTTCGACTAACCTTCCATGTCGTTATCACGCAATAAATTTTTATTTTTATAATCGGAAAAAATAATGGCAGCTTTTTATCCATATAAAATGATGTTTATTTTTTCACGAATCTACTCCCGATTAAAATAAACATTTTTCTTTGCTTACTCACGAAATCAGTTCAGAAAGCTAAAAATACCTCGCATAAATTGGAAAATTAAAATGTAATTTGCCTCGAATTTGAAATGTGTAAAAAAATACTGAATAGAAACACAAGCTTACGCGAAATAAAATTCGGATAATATTTTTATTTACATCGTTAGTCATTTATTTTAAGCGAAAATTCTGTCAAAATTGTCTATTTAAAAACGCAACTTAGTCTGCGTCACCTATAAATAAAATTCGATTATGCATAACACGGATATTTAAAACTTCGTTCTGATTTCTGAACGTTTAATTGATAGGCACTAGGTGGTACATAAAAAATAAAAATAACATAATGCGACGAATTTTTCAGTGGTCGATAAGTGAACAATGGCTTCGATTTTATTTCTTTTCTTACTGTAGCTAGATTGTAAGCTTGAATATGAGGCTCTATTGGATTTCCTCATTTCACGTTTCAATTAACTTTAAGAGATCTTTATTGCAGCAGTAGACGGGAAATGTTAGCATAGAGTATTCATTTTTCATCTCTCCATTGCTCATTGGGTGACTTTTTTACATCTTCATTTCTTTCATGTTGAACTTTGAGAAAAAGACATTAATAAGCTTTTTTATTTAATGGCGTGGATGAATAAAGTGTTTGCAGTAATGGTACATTAATTTAATCATCATGTTTAGCGCTGCTTGAGAAAAAGATAAATTAGTTTTACCCTTTTTTCATCAATCAATCTGTTAATGGCGACTTAGTGACAGTTGAGAAGTTCTTGATAAATCCACTTACTCGAACATCGCAATTAGTTGTTATATTAAGCAGAACCGTCGATTTATCGAGAACGATTTACTTATAATATTGACCTAATATATTTGAGCAATTAATTGTTTAAAAGTGTTTCCCAGTTGGTTTCATTATAGATGTGCTAAGGACATAATTCCTCTAAGGCAGGTTTAAATCAGCATAATTTGTATGTGGTCAGATACTGGAACGTGGTTAGATTAGCCTAAAAATTAATGAATTAAACTTTGACGCTGTTGGCGTTTCAGACTTGGAATGCCTATGTGTATTATTATACGTATACATTCTTTATTATTTTGTGATAATACATTTATCAAAATTATTGTTTTGTGGTAATACATTTAACAAAATATATATTTTGTTAAAGATAAAAATAAATAGAGTTATAAAATAGATATATAAATTTTTTGAGACGTTCTGTGTAGACAGTTCCAGTTTTGAGATTACATCATCAATTTTTTGGGAGGGCATAAACGAATAAATTTTGCTTAACGATTTACCACTTATAGGATAACATTAAAATATTTATAAGATTTCGGAACATTCGATTTTGCAGTTTCAATTTTTTTTCGAAAAATTCAAAGTGTCTAAAGTGAAAATTCGACACGGATTCACACACTACAAGTACAGGAGTACCTTATTTTATAAAATAAAAAAAAACACTATTATAAATTTTGGAGATAACGTCATCACATTAGTGGTAGGGATGATCATCCAAATTTTAGTTAGCGTTTAACCATCTACATGATATTCCTAATATACGTTCAAAATGTGACAACAATCGCTCCAGTAGTTTCGAACAACAAATATATGGAGGACTCCAAATTATTTATTTCTCCACTGACAAAAAAAGATTTTGTCCATTTTTTCTTAATATACGAAGTCTTCGTTTCCCAACAAGAAACTGAAAATATGTTTAACTATCCTTTGTTGAAAAAAAACTCTATACATTAAAAAAACAAAACAAAAATTAAGCCTCACCCACCCGCCCCAATCTCAATTGTGATGAGTTTCATATGGTAATTTCTTGTAGAGAAATGAGGATTTTGCAACTAAACTCCGCCCTTCAGCTCACGATGAATAAAGCATTCGTCACAATAGGGAACGGGCGGGTGGGTGGGGCTTAATTTTTGTTTGTTTTTTTTAATATATAGAGTTTTTTTCCAACAAAGGATAGTTGAACATATTGTCAGTTTCTTGTTGGGAAAAGAAGACTTCATATATTAAGAAAAAAAATGGACAAAACATACGCCCCGCCCACCCACCCCTTCTCAATTGTGATGAATGTTTTATTCATTGTGAGCTGATGGGCGGAGTTTAGCTGCAAAAATCCTCATTTCTCTGCAAGAAATTACCGTATGAAATATGTTTTTAAAAGGATAGAATTTTTTAGAGAAATATTGATGTGACAATTAAACTCCGCCCTTCGGTCTGATTAGGAATGAAAAACTTATCACAATTGAGATCGGGGCGGGTAGGTGGGGCTTAATTTTTGTTTGTTTTTTTTTTTAATACATAGAGTTTTCTTTCAACAAGGGATAATTGACCATATTGTCAGTTTCTTGTTGGGAAAAGAAGACTTCGTATATTAAGAAAAAAAATAGACAAAATATAAGCCCCGCCCACCCACCCCTTCTCAATTGTGACGAATGCTTTATTCATCGTGAGCTGAAGGGCGGAGTTTAGTTGCAAAATCCTCATTTATGTACAAGAAATGACCATATGAAATATGTTTTTAAAAGGATAGAATTTTTTAGAGAAATATTGATGTTACAATTAAACTCCGCCCTTCGGTTTGATTACGAATGAAAAACTCATCACTACAAATAAACTCCGCCCTTCAGCTCACGATGAATAAAATATTCATCACAATAGGGAACGGGCGGGTGGGCGGGGCTTATATTTGGTTCAGTTTTTTCTTAATATACGAAGTCTTCTTTTCCCAACAAGAAACTGACAATATGTTCAACTATTCCTTGAAATAAAACTCTTTGTATAAAAAAAAACAACAAAAATTAAAACTCACCCACCCACCCGGATATCAGTCGTGATGAGTTTTGCATTCCTAATCAGACCGAAGGGCGCTTGTAACATCAATATTCCTCTAAAAAAATTCTATCCTTTAAAAATATATTTCATATGGTAATTTTTTTGGCAAGTAAACTCCGGCCTTCAGCTCACAATGAATAAAATATTCATCACAACTGAGATCGGGGCGGGTGGGTGGGGCTTAATGTTTGTTTTGTTTTTTTTATATATAGAGTTTTCTTTCAACAAGGGATAATTGACCATATTGTCAGTTTCTTGTTGGGAAAAGAAGACTTCGTATATTAAGAAAAAAAATGGACAAAATATAAGCCCTACCCACCCACCCCTTCTGTATTGTAACGAATGCTTTATTTATCGTGCGCTGACGGGCGGAGTTTAGCTGCAAAAATCCTCATTTCTCTACAAGAAATTACCGTATGAAATATGTTTTTAAAAGGATAGAATTTTTTAGAGAAATATTGAAGTTACAATTAAACTCCGCCCTTCGGTTTGATTACGAATGAAAAACTCATCACTACAAATAAACTCCGCCCTGCAGCTTACGATGAATAAAATATTCATCACAATAGGGAATGGGCGGGTGGGCGGGGCTTATATTTGGTCCATTTTTTCTTAATATATGAAGTCTTCTTTCCTAACAAAAAACTTAAAACTTGTTTAACTATCGTTTGTTGAAAGAAAACTATATATATAATAAGTAGCGCAGGTTGAAGACCTTCATAGTGCTCAGCCGCAAAAAAAACTTTCCAAACTTTGAAACGTTTTGATCAATGCAAATATTTGAATATCACAAATTTAATAAAAACAAAGAAACATCTGAATTAAAGTAACTGGGTGCAAATACACAAGTTATTACGGACGTGTGGCAGCAAATTTAAATTGTGGCAGTCAACAAAAGAACAAAATCGTAATAAAAAAACTATGCAGCGGCAGCGACACCAGAGCGCTCTAAGAGTGTGGTGACCGAACTATATCAACTTCATTCTAGAGCATAACAGAATTACCCGTAGGGGGCGTTGTAGCACGAGCGGAGTTTGGGGCTCCCGGTCGTGGCTGTTCTTCCACCGCGATGGTGATGCTATTCTATCGACAAGCATTGCCGCCCAGCACCCTTCTATCACGAAGAAACGTGCCGTAATTTCTACCTTTTGTGCAGATCGCGCGGTCGCCAGCTCGACAAGGAACCGCGCATTCCGCTTTCGCCACGTGTTTCTGTCTTATTTAACCTCATTTCCATTTAAATGTTCAATTTCTATGACTCTGATATTAAACTACAATCGAACAAGTGTTAAAGTTTCAAAAAGAGCAATAATTCGTATTTATTAAGATTGGACATTCGATAATTATATGATGGAAGCAAACAAAACAACAAAATATTTACATGAAAAAAAATTAGCAAAGATTTATAAAAATAAAAGATCTGGGGTGAAGTAAAACTTGTGCAGACAAAAACATTACGTGAGTTTAGAAACTATAGAG